TAATAAAGGAAAAAAAATGTACAAATTAACGAAAATGGAATATAATTTTTTTTTTTTGTAAACAAAAAAAAAAACGAGGGTGGTGAAAAAAATTTACAAATCTATTCAGAAAAAAAAAATGCTAGAGGATTATTCACAAAGAATCAATGTTTTTTTTCGTTTAGTTAATGTATTTATAAAAATGTCTTTTTTTTTTTTTTTTTGTTTTTTTTGTTTGTTATCGTTGCTTAGGAACATGATTTATTATAATTAAGATGTTATTAGTGCGTGTTGTTCTTGCGATTCAGGAAAAAAAAAAAAATCGTAAAAATTTAGTCGGAAAAAAAATATTGTCATAAAGAACTATTGTAAAAAAATAGTTCAAACAATGCATGCATATAAATGCTTAATTGTTGTTAAATCTTTTTTTTTACATGATAATTATGACTATGGAATTATAAATTTGAATATTAGTTTAGAAGCGAGGGAAGCTAATTTTAAAAAATGTAAATCGAATATGGGAACGTACGAATATTTCGATGGGGGAGTATGTATATCGCCTACAGACCCATGTCGCGGAACATATAATTAGAGTATGGATACGAAAATTAGATATTTTAGTATTTCCTATGGAGGATCCGAGTTTGGTTTGTTGTCGAATTTTATAATTTTTAATTAAAATCGACTGTTGTTTTTTTTGTTTTTTCTTTCTCATTTTTTTTTTTGTTTCTTTCTCTTCCTTCCTTCCTTCCTCCTTTGCTTTTTTTTTATCATTCGTATTTTGTTACATATTGTGAATATTGGTCATTTATAGGATAATCTAGCGAAGTAATTTGACCATTATAATCATATTCATCAAATTCAACATCAAAAGATCCAAAATCAGTTGAACAATTATCGTACGTGTTCTGGACGTAGGAAAATTGGTGTGGCATGGAATTATCAATAAAACCAAATGTTTCTTGTTGAGAAGTATTTGTTGGACTTGCATAGAACATATGATTTTCAAAATCTCCATTAGTTCGGAACGATTGTTGATTTTGCATTGCCATTAATTGAGAGTCAGAGAGATAACCGTCAGCATCGTTTAATCCTGAGGGAATGCGTCTAGATCCTGACGCTTTGTTAGATGTATCTACAAGTAAATTATGTGGTAAGCCAGGTGCGGAAACACGTCTGGTTGAGGCATCTCGTGCGGTAGTAGGAATTCGTCGTTTTCGTTCCTGAGGACGTCGGGGCCTATATCGATATTCTGGGTATTTCTTCATATGTTCTTCTTTTGCTGCTTCTGCCATTTTTTGGAATTTAAGACGTACTTCTAAAGGTTCTTCATGCCACATTCTTCCAATCTCCTTAGATACATCATTGTTAGAAATTCCTTGATGTTGAGCAACAATTTGTGGTTGTTTGGCTCGACGGTAAAGAATAAACGCATTTGGAGGTCTTGGAGGTTTCTTGATTTTACCATTTTTACCATTTGCAGAATTGTCTTTCTTTGAGCCAGCAACTCCGCAGGGAAGAGCAAAGGATGGAAGGCGAACATCAGAATCCGGAAGCATTCTTGAAACATTAGGAGCAGAGGAGACAGGCTTGGAGTTTTCCAACAAGTTGGTTACTGCAGAAGCTTTAGAGTCGTTTGGGACTAAAACTGGTTCAAAGCCATCAGGAATAAAATAGAAATGTCCCTTTCGTTGTTCATAAAGATCTTGAACTCTGTCGTAAGAAACGTATTCAAAATGAGGGAGAATCCCCCCGCTCTTTGGTGAGTCAGGAGTCAATTGAGACTCATCCTCATGTAAGGAATCATCAGCACAATCGACTTCTGGCTCAGTACAATTATTGATTGTAGATTGACGAACAGTGGGTATTGAAGAAGGTT